GGCCCAGATTTCTGGCTGACAGTCTAGTCTTTAAACACTTGAACAACAGCTACTCTTGAACATTTAACGAATTCAGCTGTTTTGCTGATATTGCTCCATGGCTCCGAGCGCCAACAATCATCCCATGTTCAAAGGCTGTTAAATTGCGTTGTTTACCCATATCTTCAGAAAAAAATCTCTTCTATTGTCGTGGTAAACAATCTGCTTCCCTATTTATAATGGTCTGGCCCTCTAGCAACTTCAGCGTGAAATTATAGCTAATTTGCCTACATACGTCAGGTGGTCATAATAATCTGGCCACTCAAGGTATATACTTAGGAGCGGAATTGCTCGGTCATATGCTAATTCCACATTTAACTTTTTTTATATACTTTTTTTCTTTATTAAGGTATTACATATATGGCCTTATTCCCCCATCCCACCCCCCCCCCAACTCATGCCCTCACCCCACTTGTGTCTGTGTCCATTGGTTAGGCTTATATGCATGCATACAAGTCCTTTGATTGATCTCTCCCTCCTACCCCAAATCTCCCTCTGAGGTTTGACTGTCTGATCGATGCTTCTCTGTCTCTGGATTTGTTTTTGTTCATCAGTTTATGTTGTTCATTATATTCCACAAATGAGTGAAATCATGTGATATTTATCTTTCTCTGACTGGCTTATTTCACTTAGCATGATGCTCTCCAGCTCTATCCATGCTGTTGCAAATAGGAGTTCCTTCTTTTTTACCACAGCGTAGTATTCCATTGTGTAGATGTACACAGTTTTTTAATCTACTCATCTGCCCACGGTTAACTTTTTGAAGAAGTGCCAGTTTTCCAAAGTGCTGGCCCTCCTCTACATGCCCACCAGCAACAATGTATGATTTCTCCACATGCTCCCCAACACTTTTTATTGTCTGTCTTTTTAAGCACAACTATCCACGTGGAGTAGTATCTTGAAGTTTTGTATTTCCCTTATGACACGAGCATCTTTTCATGTCTATCTTTGGAGAAATATCTATTGAAATCCGTTGCCCATTTCTAAATTGTGTTATTTGTCTTGTTATTGTTGAGTTGTAAGAGCTTTTTATATATTCCAGTATAAGTCCTTATAATTTGCAAATATCCTATTCTGTAGGTTGTCTTTTCACTTACTTGCTGGATGGCTTGCAACCCAAGGTTTTTCGTAACAATATAGAGCAATTTGTGGTTGTGGTGTCCTATCTAAAAAACAATTGTGGTGGCGAAAAAATGGCGACCAGCAGGAAGGTAGGGAGGGAGAGAGTGTGAGAGCGCAAGGAAGTGATAGAGGAGTGTGTGGACGTGTGTGGTGTGTGTGTATGAGCTCGGGACAGTTAGATTCTGCAGGTCTTCTAAGGGGCTGCTAAACCGGGCAGTCTTAGGCGGTGGAGTCCCTCTCCCTGCGGGGACACTCCTGGGCGGCCAGCACGGGCACAGCGACCATGCCATCTTGGGAAACAGAGCTGCTTGAGACTAGGATCCTGGCCTCAGCACCACCCAGTGTGATCTCAGACGCATACCAGGACCCTGCAGCCACTGGGGACAGAGACCTGTGACCACAGCTACAGACCTGCGGACACCAAAAGTTCAGAAATCCCCCAGGCAGATCGTGAATAACAGAGCCCATCCCCCTCCCTGCAGGCTCCGGGGCAGCGCCATAGTAACTGATAGACCCACCCCTTGCCGGGCTTCAGTGCTGCTACAGGAACGTTAGCCTGGAAGTGCGCAAGCACCTTTGAACTGGTCCTGCGCGCACTGCCGGCTTCAGGAGTCCTGGGCTGGGAACTCAATACCAGATATCAAGCTGTATTACAAAGCCAATGTTCTTAAAACAGCTTGGTCCTGGCACAAGAACAGACATATAGATCAATGGAATAGCATAGAGACCCCAGAAATCAACCCAAACCACTATGCCCAATTAATATTCGACAAAGGAGGCAAGAGCATACAATGGAGTCAAGACAGTCTCTTCAATAAATGGTGTTGGGAAAATTGGACAGATACATGCAAAAAGATGAAACTAGACCACCAACTCACACCATACACAAAAATAAACTCAAAATGGATAAAAGACTTAAACGTAAGACGGGAAACCATAAAAATACTAGAAGAATCCATAGGCAGTGAAATAGCAAACATGTCAAAGGAATTTCTTCTCTGATAATGCTCCTAGGGCAATGGAAACTAAAGAGAAAATAAACAAATGGGACTACATTAAAATAAAAAGCTTTTGCACAGCAAAGGAAACCATCAACAAAACAACAAGAAGATCCACTGCATGGGAGAACATATTTGCCAATGATATCACTGATAAGGATTTAATCTTCAACATTTACAAGTATCTCATGCAACTTAACAAAAGGAAGATAAACAATCCAATCAAAAAATGGGCAATGGCAG